TAATGCAAAGCACTCGTCGCGAACGTCGCGAAGATTGCGAGACCCATACATAATGGCCGCCTTCTGTGCAAGAGATTACATGGGTCACTGAGACGGTGTACAGTGTAGCGAATATGTACAATCAAACGAATACACTGATCCGCTTTATTCAGGGGATCATTGTTATTAAGTCAAAAAGTCGATTATTGATACAAACCAACACCAACTTACCAAAGTGCGGAGAACACTTACTGTGTGTACGGCCTAGGTTCGGAAATTTATGTTCGTATGACGAGGAAAATGGCGTGAGTTCAAAAGGGTACTCTTATCTGAACCTTAGTATGTCAATACTTGGGGTCAAACTTTATGTAGATCAATTTGCTGTGCGAAAAAAAAAACGCTGTCTTCTACATGCACCATAAATGATTGCACATACTATTTATGTTCGCAGGGTAGCACTCTAAAACTAACACATAACACATAAAACTAATTACCATATAACACATAACACATAAAACTAACTACCATATAACACATAACATATAAAACTAACTACCATATAACAAGCAAGGTATCGAGTTGCTTATAAAAGATAATACCCTTTGTATTTGATTAGATTCCAGGGACACTTTGCCCAATAATTCATGCTTCGCATCGATTCAGATCCCATCGACACCAATTATAAATTATACCAATAATATCAGCAATAAACTCGTAGCGAAAATAGTTTACTTTGTTGCGCCTTTGAATATATAATGCAAATGAGCAAACGTTTAGTTGTTCATGTAGTATTCCGGGGTTATCATCTATTAGCAGTAACGTATATTAATGGTGTTAATCCACTGATTTGACTGGTCCAAACACAAAATTTGCATATGCAATCAATGGTATATTGGCTGATAAGGCACACTTACGCTAAACAAATTGGCCCTGGAACATGAATTGGCTACAGGTTTAATGCGGAAATTCATAAAACCGGTGCTATTTGATTTTTAGAGAAATATAGAGGTTGAATTTTGGAAAAATATTGGAAAAATTTCCGAATTAAAAACATCTGAAAAAAATTATATAACCATTATATTGCAAATTGTGAGCGTCGGCCGTTATGTGTCGGCGTTCGCCACACAAACCTAAACGAAGGCCAGAACGCTGTGTTTGCTGGTGTTTTCTAAGGTCTATGGTAAAACATGTCTTGTCCTCCGTTTTGTGACTTTGAATTTGTAAGTTTAACTGGTCACCAACTAGATGAGATTGAGGGGTTGAATGACAAAAAAATACGCAAGCAAACTAGGGGCGTTCGAATTCTACATGACAAAATTGCATCCGGGTAATTGCCATCTGTTTCAAAGACCACAGGATAACGCATAATTCAACGACGATATATGGTATTGTAATTCCCCACTAGGGGTAAATTAATTAGGGGAGATGACGGTAATTTCGAAAGCTGCAGATTTGAGTCCCGAGTGTACACCAACAACTGTATTTAATAGAGCCACAGCGTGCATAGTCCTTGATTCAGCCAGAGTGGGCAAGGCATATCATGAACGCGTCATGTCACAAAATCGAGGCGAGCATCCGATCTTACACCAGCAAACTTACCCCAGAACAACGGCAAAACTTGTCAGGCATACTGTCACAAAACCTTGGTTATTCAAAAGATGTATCCAGGTCAGATTTTGTGTCTGAGGTCGCCGTGCCGGTCATCGAACTCCGTGAACCGTAAAAGGGGGGGGGGGTATTTATCAGATAAACGAATGAAATACTCCACAACCACGAATGCATTTTTGCTGAATTAATTCAATATAACAGAAATTGAACACAGTCTACTAAACTGTGAATAAAAAGTCATTTAAACCAGTCGTTCATTTTACTATTAGATGAAGGTGTCCACGGTGAAAGAAACGCTGTCAGACATTGGTCACCATAAAAACAGCGCATAGATTGTGCTAAAAAAACATGCATGACTATTTATGTTTTAAAATAGAAAATATTCAAATCAGTTTACCTGGATATTTAAAAATGTAAAAGCGGACTAAATTTACATCAGAATGACATGTGTCAAATAATAGGCATGATCACAGGAAACAGCCACGTCATACAAGACATTGTTTTGAATATTC